CTAAAATTTGTGAGTCCCCATAGTAGAGGCACATGCATTTAATGGATAGATCAAGGGCAGGTGGACCTGAGGGAGCCACCCCTCTTAAAGGCAAAGGAGTGCACTGGACCCCAGCATGTAGCACAATGGCAACCAGGGCCCTAGTGCACCCACGTACCAAAAAACTCAAACATGCATAAAAGTGGCCACCCGCCCAAGTCTATAACTGGCTTATGAAGCAAGGACACATAAACAGGCATCACATAGTGAAAAAAAGGGGGAGAGAACAATGTTCTTGGACAACTTGCCAGCCAGCTTGCTAACAACCAAATTAACCTGTCTAACAGTATGCGTTTATAACAGGGGTTTAGTTAGCACACATTTGCAAATACATACGTAAGCCACAGAGCCACGACACGGCACCCTGATCATCTGTGGTCCTAACTCTAAAATTTGTGAGTCCCCATAGTAGAGGCACATGCATTTAATGGATAGATCAAGGGCAGGTGGACCTGAGGGAGCCACCCCTCTTAAAGGCAAAGGAGTGCACTGGACCCCAGCAGTAGCACAATGGCAACCAGGGCCCTAGTGCACCCACGTACCAAAAAACTCAAACATGCATAAAAGTGGCCACCCGCCCAAGTCTATAACTGGCTTATGAAGCAAGGACACATAAACAGGCATCACATAGTGAAAAAAAGGGGGAGAGAACAATGTTCTTGGACAACTTGCCAGCCAGCTTGCTAACAACCAAATTAACCTGTCTAGCAGTATGCGTTTATAACAGGGGTTTAGTTAGCACACATTTGCAAATACATACGTAAGCCACAGAGCCACGACACGGCACCCTGATCATCTGTGGTCCTAACTCTAAAATTTGTGAGTCCCCATAGTAGAGGCACATGCATTTAATGGATAGATCAAGGGCAGGTGGACCTGAGGGAGCCACCCCTCTTAAAGGCAAAGGAGTGCACTGGACCCCAGCATGTAGCACAATGGCAACCAGGGCCCTAGTGCACCCACGTACCAAAAACATGTTTGAGTTTTTGGTACGTGGGTGCACTAGGGCCCTGGTTGCCATTGTGACATGCTGGGGTCCAGTGCACTCCTTTGCCTTTAAGAGGGGTGGCTCCCTCAGGTCCACCTGCCCTTGATCTATCCATTAAATGCATGTGCCTCTACTATGGGGACTCACAAATTTTAGAGTTAGGACCACAGATGATCAGGGTGCCGTGTCGTGGCTCTGTGGCTTACGTATGTATTTGCAAATGTGTGCTAACTAAACCCCTGTTATAAACGCATACTGCTAGACAGGTTAATTTGGTTGTTAGCAAGCTGGCTGGCAAGTTGTCCAAGAACATTGTTCTCTCCCCCTTTTTTTCACTATGTGATGCCTGTTTATGTGTCCTTGCTTCATAAGCCAGTTATAGACTTGGGCGGGTGGCCACTTTTATGCAGAATAGAGGGATTACTTAGTCAGCAGCACAAACAAACCTTTCCTTCACTCCCCTACCACTTGTTTCATATGCCAGGAACCAGTACCTGGTGCTTACAGCTATAGGGGATCATGTAACTCACTCTGGAAGCGCAGAGCTTTCAAAGAGCTGTCTTACTTTACTGCCAGTGGGTGAACAAATTGTCAGGAAAATCAAAAGAAAAGTAGCCATAGATGGTCCCTGCTGAACTGGCTGAGATTCAGTCTATCTATGGGCAGGTTGGTACTGAAATTGACCCATCAATCGACTTTATTAAAACCAGCCTGGCTGATTTAGGTCATGTGATCACTGCTGGTGGCTATAGCCACCAGCAGTGATCATTGTGTTCTGCCATCCAGGAAGGCTTCCCATGCTGTGGAAGGGATTCCCCCATCAACATTGACTGTGTTGTTGGGGGAAACAAGCAATTTTCTTTCCTTCCACAAGTGGAGGGGGACCAAAGTGAGCATTTTGTTTTGTCCTATATGAGCAAACCACGGGTTTACTATAAATGCTGTATGTATTTTGAACACATTGTCAACTGACTTGGAAACAGCATGAAAATAAGGTATAGTTATACGCCGTAGGTAACTGTAAGCGCCTATTTACACTTGAGTGAAGCCAAGGGAATTACAGGCTTTTTTGTGCTTCTTTATGCGCAAATTGGAGTACAGGAATAGAATCTCTCATTCTCATTAAAATCTATGGGGCCAAAGCACACACTTTTGCCCCGAAGAAGCTCATGTAATTTTTTGAGCTTCACATGCTAGACTACAAAGACACGACGGTCAGGTGAGAATGGTCCTATTGAGTAGAATGGGATTCTTCATTATGAGTTTTGTCATGCTTTGGGAAACATGCAACAAAACCCTCAGGAATGAATGGGGACTTAGGTTACAGAGCTTTTTGTGCCGCTTCACACAAATTAAGAACTGAAAATCTTCATCTGTAGACTCTTGTCACATTGAAATAGATATGTGCCTGTCACTACAAAGCTAAGCATTATCTACTTTAATTTTAGTCTCTGACAAATAGAAGCTTGCAGTGATCTTTTTCTGCAATCATCTGAAAGCTCATTTTCATCGTGGGCTGCATGAGCATTAGGCCCCTTTCCGATGGGGTGGATCCATAAGTGTTAGCCGCCTGTTCAGTGGGGGATCTCTCTGATGATCCCCGCTGAGCAGGCGGATGACAGGTCTCTGTCCGCTATGCTGCTGCAGAGCGGACGCAGACAGTACCCGCTGAATTGAATGTGACAGATGGAAATGGACCGCCTGTCCGTTTCCACCCGATTGTCATCTGATCCGCTGTATGGATGGGGAACAAATCCCCATCTGTCTATTTTTAGCGTACAGAATCAAATTGGATGCCAGCGGGTGTCAGCGGACTACCCGCCTGTTCATAGAAGTCTATAGATGGACAGATTGGGTCCGCCTGTGTGAAAGGGGCCTTATGGTTGCCATCAAAAGGACAGTTGTATCTGTAAGACTGGATGTCCAGACCCCACTCCCCGTTCCATCAGATGTCAAGGACCCCCCCACCATCAGAAGTCAAGAGTCCCTACCCTCCCTTACATCACAGTGCACCCCCCCTCCCCCCTTTATCTTGTGCTGCTGCTGGGAAGAAGCTGGGAGCAGAGCTGAGAAGCAGAAAATGCAGGGTCTGGGGCAGGACCAGAGGAGGGCTGGAATCCGCTGCTGGAGTCTGCTGAATGCTGAGACCAGGGGAGTTGGAGATGAGGGGGTGATGCGGCTGCACAGAGAGGTGCAGGATCTGTAGGAAGATTTTTGTCCTCCTCTCTGCTGCCGACTGCTGAGACAGGGGGAGCTGAGACAAGCCTCTCCGTGGCTGCATAGAGAAGCACATGATCTGGAAGAATAATTCTATCCTCCTCTCTGCTGCCAAATGCTGAGACAAGCATCTCCGTGGCGGCACAGAAAAGCACGGGATCTGGAAGAAGAGTTATGTCCTCCTCTCTGCTTGCAAATGTTGAGATAAGGTGGGGGCAGAGATGGGAAGGGTGCCACAGCTGCAGGAGGGCTTCAAGGGCCACATGAAATGGCCTGGCGGGCCTTGTGTTTGGCACATATGTGATCTAGCATATTCATGGATCACATTGCTGTTTATGTTTTAAAAAAAAAATTTGTAAATACATCACAGTAAAAAAACATCTGCACAAAAGGCCTTGAGGGCAATATCACTTGGACATGTTATTGTTAGCTTCCTTAATGACTTTGACTTGTGTGTTAGGGTCTATGCACACTGGGCTTAAATAAGTTCTTATGGCAAAAAAAAATGCTCATATAGAACATTGTTTGTACAGGCATTTTGAAGTGTTTGGCCTTTTTTTCTGTCAGAAAACTCTTCTCAAAAATGCAAACCAGAAGGGTTTTCTTCTGTCTCTAAATGCTGAGCTTAAATTATGCCTCTAAATGTCCTAATATCATATGGACACATAGGATAACATCGTAGATGTTTATTTGACACTGGAACAAGAATAGAGGGTAAACCGTTAAATGGGGACACTTATTCTAGTGACAGTTGTCTAAGAAGAGATTTCTCGTATGTTCTGTTGTGTCTATGGGACAGGAATCCAATTTTGCCTCAGTGGGACAAGGGTGCCAAAAAAAAAAAAACAGACAAGGGTGTTAAAACATTGTGTTCTCTATCCTACAAAAAAACATTAAGCCTTAGCTATACTTTAAAACCCCATTCAGATATGGCAAAATCCGCCCTGATCAGCAGAGGATTCGCTCACAGATCCCCTGCTGGTCTTAGCAGTGGGCAGATGACACATGTGTGTCCATTCAGTTTTTATGCAGCACGGACACTGACAGATCCCGCTGTGCTCTATGGGCAGCCGGGTGTAAACAGACTTCGCTGTCTGTTTACACTCAGCTATCCTCCGTTTACATCCGTCTAAATGGAAGAGGATGGATCCCCTTCCCTTTTTTTTTAGCAGAATAGATCAGACGTGGAGGTAGGCAGGTGTAAATGGACAGAAAGTGAATGGACCATCCAATCAGGTCCACCTAAAGACTGACAGGTGGACCTGATTGGACCCTTTGTGTGAAAAGGGCTTTCCTGAGTCAGATATATGTGAATTATTTTCATTATATCAGTTAATGTCTTGGTGACATTGGAACAAAGGTGTTTGACATGCTGCAAATGTCACACCCGGCCACCTGATCGGATGCTACATTGTCTTAGAGAATGAAACCGGTAAGCTTGTACTTGTGTCATTGACCGGAGGGACTTTAACATTCAAGCTGCACAAAAAGCAGTTCCTGTCATAGTTTAAAACATTTACACCTATAGATTACCACTCCTCTTTCATATAAGCAACCATTATATGTGTATGCAGAGAAGGGAATACATATTGATTAAAACAAGAGGTGGCATACTTTAGGGTATACACGGATCAGCCATAACTTTATGACCACTGACAGGTTAAGTGAATAACATTGATTATCTTGTTATAATAGCATCTGAAAACGTTTGCTTATTTAGTTAGCTTGATGTATGTATGTGTTTTATTTTTTTCAGTTTTGACATCAGACTGACATGCGGAGACACGGATGATCCACACACTGACGTTGCCATTGAAATAAAAGCAGAATTCAGTGATAAACAATTACTCAGAAATGCCTGTGTCTCTGGGGAGTGGGGAGAGGAGGAGTCAGCTATTCCTTATTTTCCATTTATTGCGGACCAGCCATTCAGAGTAAGTCATCTTTTATATGGTCAAATATTGTCTTTTGTTATTCAGCATGGCTTGTATCTCTGTACTCCCCCTGATGGTGTACTAAGACACCCATTTAGTAAGTGTGGGACACAAGGATTGTGTAAAAATCCTTTCTCTTTAGTCCTGAGTAACCATAGATGCCTGCAGCAATGTGTGTACCCTTCAGTACAATTCACTATACACCTAGCTTGTATGATGGAGTCGTTTGGGGTTAGTTTTTTTACCCTGTTTTCCAGTTTTGCAGATAGCAGAATATAGCAGTCTGGCCATTATTTAGGGTACATGCGAGTGACAGTTCTACTCCTGCTTCTATTTTAGGCCCCTTTCACATGGGCAGTATCTCTACCGCCCTCTGATAAGCAATATGTAGTGGATTGCTTTTCAGAGAAAGGTAGAGCAGTTGCCACAATGTGTTCCTGCTGCCTCCTGAACACGTTTTTTGTCACCTTTTTTTTTTTTTTTCCATCCCAAGTGGGTGCAGTCTTATTGACCTCAAAGACCGAGTTTGACAGGCTGCACTGAAAGCATCACAGTCTCAGTATGTGTACAGACCCCTTTGACTGCCATGCCCACTTATAGGTGGGAGGTTCGAAAGCAGATCAACCAGTATTTACTGCCCCCAACTGTCCCTCTGACTGAGGTTTTAAAGTGGAACTCGATAGATATGGAAAATAACATTTATGAACCTTTTGATATAGTTAGATAAGGAACTCAACAAGATAGACAGCCATTAGCACTCAGTCATGATTGCAGTAGAATTCTGGGACGAACCTAAATAATCTTAAAAATGCTCCAACCGTCCTGCTAAGGCAAGCCATAGATGATGCAATTTTCTTTCCTGAACCACTGACTGCATTGATGGGTGAATCCCTCCCCCGCCGCACTATTGTGTTCTACCAGCAGGAGCCTTCCTTGCTAGCAGAACACTATGATCATATATGGCGGCTATAGATGCCGACAGTAATGGAATGCAAAAAATCAGACAGGCTGGTTGTACTGAAGTCGATCGATGGATTGACTTTGGTACAATTGGTCTGCCCAGAGATGGATTCCTTACTGAACTGGAAGAGATTCCATTCATCTATAGCCGGCTTCACAGCTATTCTGACTAAACCTGTGTAAGAAAGATCTGTGTACTTACCTATTTGTAAGCTTCTCTGGTCTGGTCACATGATCTCCCCTGTGTCAGTCAGCGTTGATGCAAGGGAGAGGAGAGAGCACTCGACAACAGCTTGCAATGTCTGGGAGTGAGGACGTTCCTCTTCTTCTCTGCAATGGGTGCTGGTTTACATAGGGGAGCCGGATCACGTGACCGGACCAGAGTAGCCTGAAAATAGGTAAGTACACAGATCTTTCTTACACACATTCATTAGGATAGATGTTAGGAGGGAGTTGGGAGCATTTTTAATATTAGTTGTATCTTGGGATTCTATTTTAATAGTTGTGTTCAGCTGTTCTTATGGACCCTTTTCAACTACAGTATAGATTTAAAGTGTATGTTGATGTAGATCTCAACAAATTGCTGTGCTATAGGAAACATCTAAAAGTATCATGAAAGATTACCTTTTTTTTTAAATATCTCTGTAAAAGAGCAGTGCGTTTCCTGGTATGTAAGTGTGCCTAGGCACAGCTGTGTCTACATACAGTATATCTCAGAGCTAGATACTGCAGTGTAAGATCTAAGGCACTGTTGCCACTGACAGCTAGTTCTAGGTGATATGGGGTGACATTTGGAGTACTACTCACTGTTCTCCTTACTTGGAGCTATGACTTGAGAAAATAAAGTCCTGCCTCTACCAAAATTGCTGCCTCCACACAGGGCAGAATAAGGTATGGTAAGTCAGTAATGGTGGAAAGATCAGCTGAAGGGAGACTACAGACAATATTTGTGATTTGTGCTTTGCCTACGACTTGCCTTTTTTTGGCCACATCTTCCAAAGTTCAATTAATTTTGATGGCAACAGTTTTAGTTTTGGGTAGAGTGGTGAGGGGTTAGACCGTCTGGCACATTTGTATTGCTATCTGTGTTTCCAGTTAGGGAGATTTACCTCTCCATTTGTATCGAAGACCTTTGTCACTGAGACAAGGAAATCCAAAATTATACAGTTGTGACCAGAGCGAAGAAACATTCTGCAGTTGGGAAACTTGGTTCTATGACAACTCTCAAGATGGGAATGCCCCTTGCGTTGGGGAGATTTCCTCCCTTTTCTGCTGTGTCTTTAGGCAGGAAGTGAAGGGTAATCTCCCCAGTGGGACACAGACACCAAAATAATCTAATAGGGTTTAACCCCTTCATTGCTCTATGTAAAACTTAAAAAAAATATTGTCTTTACCTACACTTTAAAGAGAAATGTCAGGTTTTTTTTTTAAGTCAGCAGTTTCAGTATTATAAAAATCAAGTACTTACCAGTGCCTGGAGTGCAATTCTGTCTTCCCACAGCCACTTCTTCTTACCTCTGTGTGTCCCCAGCACAGAGCAGCAACTTGGAAATGGGAGCCCGCTGTGCATGCGTGAGCTTGCATTACCCTTTCTGAATGGTCCTGCAGACTCCTGTGATGTGTCTCAGCAGGCTATGGGAGCAGGAGGGAAAGTGGCATCGTGGTTGCCTAGGTGATGCTTGCTCCCCCTCTAAAAAAAAAAAAAAAACCCTTTGCATCAGTTACAATTTGTGGAGGAGAAAGCAGACCAGCAGTATTTCACTTTTTAACTAAAGTTCCACTTTAATAGTTAAAAGTTTAACAAAAATGTTTATAGAAGAACCATAATAACATTTTACAATATTCTGCCTCCATGGGGCATGAAGACAAATGTGGTACCTACCTACTGATACCTGCCTGCTCTGTAACAAGTATGTTTCCTCAGTACTATAGCTAAACCTAGGGACTGTGAGCAGATTGCAATAACACACAGTAATCAGAGAATACTGTTCACTTTTCCTTCTGCAGAGATAGCAACAACTGTCCTCTCGAAATAATCTACAGTGCTGTGAAAAAGTATTTGCCCCTTTCCTGATTTTTTTTTTGCATATTTTATCACACTTAAATAATTTAGATCATCAAACAAATTTTTTATATTACACAAAGATAACCTGAATGAGTACAAAATGCAGTTTTAAATTATGATTTAATTTATTAAGGGAAAAAAGCTGACCAAACCTGCCTGGCCTTATGTGAAAAAGTAATTGCCCCCCCCCCCCCCCCCCCCCCCCACGCTTTGTTAAATAATGAATGAACTGTGATTAACCATGTTTTTTAAAAAGCTAAGTAAAATTTCACTTGCCACACCCGGGCCTTACTGTCAGACCTGTTGAATCAAAAAATCACTTAAGTAGAAGCTGTCTGACAAAGTAAAGCATTCTAAAAGATTTTAAAAATCAACACATCATGCAATCTAAAGAAATTCAAGAACAGATGAGAAACAAAGTAACTGACATGTGTCAGTCTGAAAAGGGTTAAAAAGCCATTTCTAAAGCTTTGGGACTCCAGCGAACCATGGTGAGAGCCACTATCCACAAATGTTGAAAACCTGGAACAGTGGTGAACCTTCCCAGGAGTGGTTGACCTACCAACGTTACTCAAAAAGCACAACGACATCTCATCCAGGAGGTCATAAAAAAACCCAGAACAACATCTAATGAACTGCAGGTCTCACCTGCCTCAGTTAAGGTCAGTGTTCTTGATTCAACAAGAGACTGGGCAAAATAGCATCCATGGAAGAGTTCCAGGGCAAAAGCCACTGCTGACCAAAAAAAACACAAAGGCTCGTCTTGCATTTGCCAGAAAACATCTTGATTATCCTCAAGATTTTTGCACAGATATTCTGTGGACTGATGAGAAAAAGTTGAACTTTCTGGAAGGTGTGCGTTCCGTCACACCTGGCGCAAAACCAACACAGCATTTCATAAAAAGAACATCATACCAATAGTCAAACGTGGTGGTGGTAGTGTGATGGTCTGGAGCAGCTTCAGGACCTAGACGACTTGTTATAATAGATGGAACCATGAATCCTGCTCTCTACCAGAAAATCCTGAGGGAGAATGTCTAGCCATCAGTGCGTGACCACAAGCTCACTTGGGTTATGCAGCAGGACAATGATCCAAAACACACCAGCAAATCCACCTCTGAATGGCTCAAAAAAAACCCAAAATGAAGATTTTGGAATGGCCTAGTGCAAGTCCGGACTTAAATCCAATTGAGATGCTGTGGCATGACCTTAAACTAACCGTTTGTGCTCGTGTTTGATGATCTGAATCATTTAAGTGTGACAAATATGCAAAAAATAAAAATAAATCAGGAAGGGGGTAAATACTTTTTCACAGCACTTTAAATGCAATTTTGTGGTGTAAATCTGTGTGACCATCACAATCTAGTAATGACCATTTTCTATAGCAGTTAAAATGCATTTCCTTTTTCTTTCCTTTACATTGATGTTTGTAAAAAATCTATTTTATTTAGAATTTTAACTGTCTGTACAGTATAGCAAGTTGTAGATATTGCACTCTTCATGGCCTTATGAAATTTCCCTTATGTGTCATTCATCTCTACGTGGGTGTTAGTACAAGGATATAGAGCAAGAGGAATTTGTAATTTCTGTGCGTTACTTGAAAGAATTTTAGAAAAAAATGATAATTGCTGATGCAAATAATTTCTTCAGAACATTGCTTTGCCCAGGGCCGAATTTCACTTTCAGAGAAGCATGGTTGCATAGAAACGGTACCTGTATAGGCTATTTATAATTAGTTCCCTCTTTCATCTCAAAGAAATAGCACTAGCTTATTTTCATTGTTATGTCTTTTATATTATTACACACTCTTTGAATGTGTTTACTTAAAGCAGAACTCCAACTTGAAATTAAAAGATAAAAATAAATAACTCAATAAAAAATAAAATGAAAAACAGTTTTTGCTGCATGTTCACCTATATGGGGCAGCACAGTGGCTAAATGGTTAGCATTTAGGGTTGTCGGTTCAAGTCCCAAC